TAGAAGAAAAAGCCTAGCTTTGACTGGAACCTACTGTTTAAGAGTCTACTTACTTTCACTTTCTGTTCACATGCATTACTTTCCAGGTTTGACATTTGATTAAAGAAAAGTTTGTTTTGTTGATAATGCATTAATGCTTATATGATCATATAGCTATCAGTGTTGTACTCTTTGAACAGCAGCATCTTTTGACCCTACTGTTTCACCATTTACTCAACTGCTCCTTCATTTTATGTTCTTTGATTCAATAAGATAAGATGGGTGGAAGTGCAATAAGTGATGATTGGGAATTCGCTGCAAATGGAGCTCGGACACTGGTTCTGGTTGGGCGTACAGGTAATGGTAAAAGTGCTACAGGCAATAGCATTCTTGGAAGAAAGGCGTTCAGGTCAATGTCTAGCTCAGCTGGTGTTACAAGTACTTGTGAGCTGCAGAGGACTGTACTAGAAGATGGCCAAATACTCGATGTGATTGATACCCCTGGTATATGATGCAAATCGTTTCTTTTCCTTAGTTGTTGCAACAAGCTATATTTGTATTATAAAGATAGTATCTTATAATTGATAAGAGTTCAAGTAAGTCAAGTACTACTCTGTCTGATGTTTATAACTAATGATTTTCGAACAAATGTTTTGTCGTTAAGTAAAGGTGGAATATAATGCAGATTTCTTTATGAAATGTTAGTATCTATATTTGTGTTGTGTTTGACTGGCATGTGGAGTACATTTTATATACAGTGATATGCTTTGACGATTGACATGTTCAAAAGAATTATAGTGCTGAAAAAAGTCAATCCCAATTTTAGCACATAAAAAGGCATGAAAAAAGTATTCTAAGAATTCTCAATTGGTCGTTGTGTAATCTCGGAACTGTGAGTGTATTATGTATATCTTGTTTTGTTTAAGTATGTAAACTGTAAACTTATTGATGGGAGTATCCTTCTTTATAGATCTTAAATTACCAGGTGAGACGGTCTTACTGTGTTTTCTTTCATTCCTCATATGGTATTAACTGTTCCTGAGTAATCTAAAGAGACTGATAAAGCACGGTGCATCAGATTTGCAAATGAACGTGTTAACATACTGAACAATGGCACCCGAGGGTGTGGTCTAGTGGTCAATGAAGTGGGTGAGAACCATGAGGTCTCAGGTTCAAATCCCAGCGGAGGCAAATACTAGGTGATTTCTTCCCATCTATCCAAGCCTTGGTGGATAGAGTTACCTGATACCTGTTGCTGGTGGGAGGTGGCAGGTATCCCGTGGAATTAGTCGAGGTGAGCGCAAGCTGGGCCGGACACCACGGTTATTAAAAAAAAAAACATACTGAACAATGTGACCTCAACACTAGAAAATTCCCCATGTATAGATGCTCTATATTGGATCTTTGATCTGTTGTTTGATTACATCAAAGTCCAAACTAGCTGACTTTGTCGGAATTGCAGGATTATTTGATTTTTCTGCTGAACCTGAATTTATTGGAAATGAAATTGTTAAATGCATCAACATGGCCAAGGATGGGATTCATGCTGTTCTTGTAGTTTTATCTGTGCGTACTCGCTTTTCAAGAGAAGAACAAGCTGCTGTTCAGAGTCTGAGGGAGTTCTTTGGGGGCAAAATTAGTGATTACATGGTTTTGGTTTTCACTGGTGGGGATGATCTTGAGGACAATGACGAAACTCTGGACGATTACCTAGGTCGTGACTGCCCTGAGCCTTTAAAGGTATATAATGTGCTTAGAGATAATCTCATGCAATCTTACTTTCAGTAAGCTAATTGATTTTATTTGTCAAATGTATTTGTATTTAGAAAATTCTTCTGTTCAAGAGTTTTTTTTTTTCTTTTCCCCCAACACTTTGGAGATTTAATCATCTTGATAGTTGAGAAACATTAGTTTGTGGGATGAATCTAGTAGAAGATGTGAGGAATTTTTTTTTTTTTG